ATTGTTGATTTTAAGGTTGGGTTTTGATTATTAGATGATAACTAAGCTTAAGGAAAGCTTAAATCATCTTAAAAACAAATGATGGAGGGGTTATGAGAGATTAAAGATTTGGAGTTTTTATATGAAACTTTGGAAAAGAATTGATAAGTAGAATTTGAAGTTAAATTTGACTTGTCAATGGTTAAATTAAGAGATTTGGAATGATAGAATTTGATTTTGAACATATAGAAAATTTGATATGATTTTTGAATTATATATGGAAGATAGGATTTTGAGGTTTAAGATGAAATAAATGAATATAGATTGGTTTAAGTATGTGTACTAGAGTTAAGAATGAAAAGGAGATGATATATGAAGTGTTTGAGTGAAAATGAAGGAATTTTCGGGTTGAAAATATGATTTCTGGGTAAGGGGAATCGGTACCCATTCAAGGGGAACCGATACCCCTTCAAACGACAGAATTCCAGAATGTCTGGAGGGAATCGATACCCCATAGGGGGGAACCGATTCCCCCTAAAGGAAAAATTGGGAATATGGGTTTAATAAGTTCGTTTAAGTTGCTAGTATCCAATTACAAGGTGTAGGTATCTAATGATTGTCCCGAAATGTACATTTATGTAGATTCTACGCATAAAGAATTCCGGAACGTTTGGCAAGTAAGATCGATCAAAGGGAAAGATAAGAGATTGGAATTGACTAGTGAGGCCAGGTGAGTGCATATTAATTAGTTTATGGTGCTAAATGGAAACAAGACTTGCGACAAGTCTTTTTCCTCTGTTAGAATGCATGAATATATGATATACGTATATGAATGACATGAATAGTATGTATGCATGATTATATGTGTTAACATGCTTTTGAATGTAATGTTATGAGAAGTATGTGCTATGTAATGTATATATGAACATATGTGAAACTGAACTATGTGACTGCATGAGAAAGATATGAGCTTATATGGCCTGTGATATGAAAGTGTATATGTGAAATGATATGAAATATATATGTGAAAACAAGTATATGTTATGAGATCAATGATTACACGTACATGTGATACGTGACTGAAAAGAAAAGATATGTGGTTACAAGAGAAAGAATATGAATAAGTAATGTGAACTGTTATAAATGATAATGCCCATGTTATGTGATATGAGAGCTAGGGGTATAGTTGGCATGCCAAGGGTCGAGGGTTTACCTATGTTCTTCGGAACATATGGACTGTTTACCTATGTTCTTCGGGACATATGGACTGTTTACCTGTGTTCTTCGGAACATATGGACTGTTTACCTATGTCCTTCGGGACATATGGACTGATTACCTAGGTTCTTCGGAATCTATGGACTGGTCCTTCGGGACATTGATCGAGCTGTGGTGACAGCATATGTGTGCACAACCTCAATGTACTCACATACCTTAAGTTCTCACTAGTGTACATGGGCTAATAAAGTGATTAAACAAGCATACTGAATGTGATATGTATACGATGGGTTTATAAGTGGTTTGAAATGTGTTACGTGAATCATATGATGTTGTGTGTGTATAGTGTTTGATTGAAAATTGTTAACAATAAGAGTATGTGATTACATGATAAACTGTTAATGATGAATTATGTGTCTGTATGTATTTACTGTAATTAATCTGATATGATCTTATATGATACGAAGAATGCATGAAATTGGTATAACATGATAGAACAGAACATGCATGTATTGATATATGTTATGAAGTGCATTATAAGTCGTTATGCCTCACTAAGTCTTCGACTTAGCGTGTGATTGTTTCACACGTAGGTTTCGAGAAGAGTAAAGAGTAATGCGGAGCAAGACAGGTCAGTTTTCCTTACCAAATGTCAGATCAGAAAATGTATGTACTGTTTACAGAGTGTAGTTGGCATGTAGTCTAAAGATATAAATGGTATGAACTCTGATATCTGTTGTAAACGTTTTGAAATAATTTAAATGTTATCAAAGTTTTTAAATTACCCACTATTTTATACGAATGAATGTTTAAAAAGTCAATGTGACACTTCGGACTCGTATCCGGGTCGGATATGGGTTGGGGGTGTTACAATTTATATAAATGAAAATAATTTTTAGGGTAAATTACACATTTAGCCTATAAACTATTACTTTTATTCCATTTTGGTACTCAAACTTTATTTTTTAAAAAATCATACCTAACATTTACTATATGTTTCATTTTAGTACCATGTCATTAAAAACTTAACGATGTTGTTGGCGTGCCACCATAAGATAATACCACGTTATCATTTGAAAAAAAATGACACGTCAGTAGCTCTGTTAATTTTTTAACGGCGGGGTACCAAATTGAAGCCTAAACTAAACATTAGATATGTTTTTTTAAAAAATAAAATATAAGTACTAAAACGGGACAAAAGTAATAGTTTAGGTATTAAAGTAATATGTTTAAAATGAACTAAACATTCAATTTGAACAAAAAAATGCATGTGAATTTAAGCCAATAAAGTGATCTTAGCGGTAAAAGAAAATATTGTCATTCTTAGAGGTCATGATTTCAGCAACTGCGTCTGCATGATGTGTGTACATTATTAATAGATTAAAAAACTTTTTGATAGATAATACGTTATAATCACCTAGACTATTAAAAAGAAGTTTGCCTCGGTGAATTTCCATTTAGCATTGAATGGCTGAGTAGTGTTATATTGAGCATTCGTTGAGCTTAGTTAAGCTCACTGTCGTTTTCGGTGATGTTTATGCATATTGATTGTTGAATTCGAGACATGAAAAAGATTACCAGTGTCGATCCTATGATACACTTGGTTTAAAGAAATGTGACAAGTCCATATTTTCTAAAAGTTGATGGAATTTGTAGACTCTTAGACATTTATTTTGAGATTTAATCCTGTTAGATGTTGATTTGATGAGAATTTGATGCATATGCATGACGATTTGTTGTGTGATGTTAGTTTTAGGCTTAAACGAGTTGAGTCGAATTTGAGTAGTGCTAAGTTCGATTTAATTTAAAAAGTATAAGATTGAATTCGACTTAATTCGAAAATTCATGAGTTTAAAATTGTCAAGCTCGACCCGAACTCGAAATAAAAAATTGAAACTCGATTCGAAAATTTGTGAGCTTAAAATTTTAAAGCTAGACTCGAAATAAAAAAAAATAGAGCTCGAGAAAACTTGAACTCGAAATATTCTCAGACTTAGCTCGATTGAAACTCAAACTTAAACTCGAACATAAATCTTAAGTACATGAAAGTCTTACATTGCCTTTTTTTTAAATAATATATAAATGTTAATATTAATAATAATTTAATTTTAAAAAATCTAAAGTTTTAATATATTATTTTTTCGAGTTACTCGTAAATTTTTCGAATCGAGTATTAAGTAGCTCGTTTCAGTTTGTTGATAATTTGAATCCAATTCAAGCTTGAGTCGAGTCTATTCAATTTGAGAGTTAACAAAACTCTGATTGAATTGATATTAAATAACTCACGATCTGTCTTGTCTTATTTACAATTTTAATTATTACTATGCATGTATAGCTACTTTACATGCATGATCTAGTAAGCGAAATGATGTGATTGTGAACTATGGATGTTATGAACATGTTTAACATGTTAAAGTTAACGTCACTTGTTGGAATAGTGTAGTAACCTAAAATGTATGAAATGATATTGTCGGTTTATGTTGGATTGATACGGTACGGGGATAGGAACGAGATGAAAAATAATAATTTTTTAAAATTATAAGGTACAAGTACGATAAAGATATGATAAATATAAAATAAATTTTAAATTTTAAAAGAAATAAAAGATCACAAAATATTTATTAAAGTTCATAGTGATTAGAATTCTTTGATTAAAAGATAGAGATTGTAGTGAATGTAAATAAAATCTTCAATACGATTTGAATTTAGTTTATTATTCTTAAGCGAGTGGATGAATGAATAAGTATTTCAATTTCTTTCACAAGAAAATATTGAAGTAAGTCGTTCAAATACTTTGAAAGTTAAAGATTGAAGCAATATAGTTTCGACACCAAATTTAGTCTACTAACTTTTTAGATCTTAAAAATATCTTTTCGTAAGAGAAACTCAACCCTAATTAAAAAAAAATAAAATTATATTATAATTCATCTATATATTTTTTATTATTTAAATTTTACAAATAGTCCTAGATACGTGCGTAAAGATCAAATATAGTCCCGAATACATTCTCAAAAATCTCTCTGACTTGCCCAATTAATTTTAACCATACCCCTTAAATGCGAACATCCCCGATACATACTCAAGTTGTACCCATTCTATACCTATGTTAGGGACATGTTGAGTACTTGGTACAACTAGGGTTGCAAATAAGACGATACAGATAGTGTGTTACTCGAGATCGAATCAGTCAAAGTTTGATAAATATTCTACTCAAGTACTTAACGAAACGAAATGAGTTACTTGAAAATTTTAGGCTCGCGAGTTATCGAGCCGAATCGAGCTTCATTTTAGAGTTTTCGAATTGAACTCAATAATTCTCGAATTTGACTCGACTCGTTTACAAGTCTAGATACGGCATTAAGATGACATACCCGTGCTACATAGTTGTCGGAGCATGTTATGTATAAACAATGGCCTAAAACGAATCACTGGATATATATATTTTCATTTATTGTGTTTTTTTTTTGCTTTTTGAAATCAAATTCAACATACAAGTTTATTTATGTAATTGATGTGTTGATAATATGTTAGGAGTATGTTTAGGATGTTTGAGGATGATTGGTGTCATTAAAAAATAATAATGTATTTTTATTCTGCAATATCAATATTATATTGATAAGGCTAGGGCTCATTGTTGAGGTCGTTTTTGTTCAAATAAGGTTAGGGCTCAATTGCAGCCCAACTTCATCTAAACCGCCTTAAACTCTAAAGTACCCAACGGTTATAATTGATCTTGATGAATTAATAAATAGACCCGTTGGGTCTGGGTTAATTCATTGTCAGATAGACACGAGTATTGCATTATTTTACTATTTCTTTCCCGCCCTGATCACTCCCGAATCCATCCCTTCTGAAGAGTCGAGTTCAAGTCTCTTTGTACGATCTCTTTTCGGAGCTTCAATTTTTTCGTTTCTTGCGAATTGTTATTGGTGATCGCTAAACCCTAGTATACAACCATCAGTAGTTCTAGGGTTTTCTCCGGTGGCGCTCAAAGATCCGGGGCGGGAACTGTTAGAAGGGTAAGGTTGGAGAACTTTATGTGCCATAGTAGTCTTGAAATCGGACTCGGCGAGTTGGTTAATTTCATTACCGGTCAAAACGGAAGTACATATCTCATCTCTCTGTCTCTCTATATGTATATATATTGTGCATTCGATTCATGTTAATAATTTTCTTGGAATATGATACGAGCGACATGTTTGTTTGTTTGGTTTTTTGTGTCGGAGGGAAGAGCGCGATACAAACTGCTTTATGTATAGCGTTCGGCGGAGAAACTAAAAGGGCTTAGAAGTTGAAGGAGTTTATAAAAACTGGCTACAGGTTTATTCTTCTTCTTCTTTTGCTTTTAATTGTTTGGTATAGTGACGGGTAATCTGTTTGATATATCTGATATCTATCTCAATTCTCAGTTATGGTATTGTTCAAGTAAATATTAACAATGGAGGAGTTGATTCTTTTAAGCCAGATATTTTCGGTGATACCATTATTATAGTTACTGACTCTACGAGCTCCACTGTTTTGAAAGATTGTCAAGGTTTGACTCATTTTCTTCCGAATTTTCTTTAATGTCCAATGGTCTGTCTGATTACTTCTGAATGACGTGTTTTTCTTAATAAAAAAATCAAACAAACAATTTTTTTTTGCATGTGCAATTGTGTGGCTACAGAATGCAGGATGCAGAATGCTGAATGATTTTCGAATTTTTCTTTCTCTAGATCTCTCTGTTAATGGTATAGGCAATTTGGGGATTTTTATGGTATAAGAATATTTGGTAGCAGGAGTTGTATTGAAGCTTTTTTTTTTTTTTGGAAAAATCATGTATAAATTGTTTTTAGTCTGCAAATAGATCTATTCTGATTCATGAGGCTTTTTCCTATGAAAGTTCTCCATTTTTAGTTTTTTTCTATAAGTACAACCATAGGTATCACTGTTTCCATATTAAGTAATTCTTGACAACTTTTTTGACAATTGTTGCTAGTTTTGTGGTTATTGTGCTGCAGACATTACTCAATGGTGACACATGGGGTCCTGCTGTTGAACAAGCTATTGGAAAGTTGCTAAATGCATTCATTGTGACAAATTCTCAGGATGTTAGTGCTCTTAGAAAATGCATAAAGGAGGCAAGGTATAATTACTTTCCGATTGTTATACATAGGTTTTCGAACCAAGGTGAAAGGATGAGAATTCTAATTTTCTTAAAAAGCCTCTTTTCATAGTACTGATGTTTCAGTACAGTTTCCTTGATATTTGGTTTTGCTTTCTTTGTAGGTTGATTATACCTGATCATTCACTCTCCCAGATGAACCACACAGCTGCTCAATCTCTTTTACAATTATAATCCTACTGTTTTCAGTGTTTTGGTAGATGTCGTAATTTCATGTTTTCATCATGAATTTCTAATCTAAATCCTGCTATTAGGAAATTTATTTTTTAACCATCCTCTCTGCCTATTTCTTTTCAAATTTCTTTTATCATAATCCAATGCAGCGGTTACTGGTTGGTTAGTTTAGCAGGAGGCAATGAGCTTGTCCATGAATATTTTTTTATGCTTGCTCTAAAGAAGCTATTGCGGCAGGCTTATGTGTAGCACTAACATTTTTTGTATTCTCAGGTCAGAGCTGAGAGGCAAGTTCTTGTCAAAGATTACAACAGGGGATGGGCTGTTGCATTTGATCGAAGAATACATAATGTGTTGGAGGTTTTCACCTTAGATGGATTTAAAATGTAAGTTGATAACTAATTTCATATGTTGTTTCATGTCTCATCCTTTTTAAAAAAGTTACTTGGTATGTTTATGTATTCTCAGGTCAGAGCTGAGAGGCAAGTTCTTGTCGAAGATTACAACAGGGGAAGGGCTGTTGCGTTTGATTAAAGAATACAGAACGTGTTGGAGGTTTTCACCTTAGATGGATTTAAAATGTAAGTCGATAACTAATTTCATATGTTGTTTCATGTCTCATCCTTTCTTAAAAAGTTACTTGGTATGTTCATTATTGTCTTCGTAGGGACCAATTTTAAGGGAGTGAGAATTGAATTTGGTCTGTGAATCTAATTACATCGTTTAGATGGATTTATAAGATTGTGCTTGTCAAATTCTGCTTGAAGAATTTTGTTCACTTCTCAAATATAAGATTGTTCTCAACTTGAATTCATTCTGAATATAATCGTAAAACTTGAATTTAAGAATTTACGATCATTTGATTACTTAAAATTCCATGTTGTTGGATGCGATTGAACTGCCATATCATGTGCCCAGCAATTCTATCCAAATATAGTTATGCTAAAACATGTTTATAACAAATGGTTATAGGAACGATCAAGTGCTGGTTTGATTATTGAAAGTGACCTAGCATTGGAATGGTTACAAGATATCTTCCTATTGAATCCAAAACCTTTTCTAACCATATCTTCTTATTGAATCGTCTTTAGGATGCTAAAATGTTGATCAAGGAGGAGGCAATGCTAGAAAAATTTAAAGAGAGGATCAATGCAGCAGAAGAAAAGGTCAGAACTCTTATCATTCAAAGATTTTGGGGGTATTTTTTTAGTAAACTATATTTAATGTTTAGTTCAATTTTGCACGTGGCTTTACTTGCATTCAATTTGCCCCCTATGCGTATCATAGAATCAACAAAGGGGGAGGTTGAAGCTTTCCAGAAAGCAGTGGAGGAACTAACTGAGTAGAGAAAGAGAGAAATAATGCAGAAGCGGTCTACTTTGTGCTCCGTTAACTTTTTATTCATTTACTTCTTCAGCTATTGCGTGGAAACTTGAATTCAGAAATTAAAGTTTCTGTTTCAGAATGGGGTCCACCATGAAAATGTTATGAAAGAAAAGGTTCTTCCTCAAATCAAGGATGATTTTTATGCCTTCTTAGATATGGTAACCAATTGTAGCACATGTAATATTTTGTAACATTATAGCAGAGCTACAGAAAGGCTTCTATCATTTGTCATGAGAGTGAAATTGACGATTAGAAAACTTGGATGGAAGTACAACCGATAAACCAGATGCCAAACTGAAGAGACTGAATCAGAGACTTATGCATGAGGGCAATCGGTATGGGGTGGTTAATTTTCGATATTTCACTTTGAAAATACCCTAATATCTTTTTGCAGTTGGATTCCATGTTAACTTTTGACTTTCTGCAGATTTTCAGAATCAATTGATGATCTTAGGATGTTGTATCCGGAGAAAGATCGTAGAAACTGTATACTTATAAAGCCTTTCGAGAAAGATTAGATGTAAGTTTACTGGTGTTCAATTTGCCCTGAATTTGACAATTTGTCTCAATCATACAATTAGGTGGCTAACCTGTTTCAACTGGGTTTTAAGAAAGAACCATGAAAGAGATTAAGGTCAAGAAAGAACAATTAGGTGGCTAACCTGTATACTTATAGAGTTCTTTTATTTTTTTTGTAATTTCAACTAATCTTTTTTTAATATTTGGAATTCTGGATTGTGATGTGAACCTTTTCTGTCTGTTTTGTAGGTTATATGGCATTTGATAGTTGTTTCATTATAATGGCGTTCTCCTAATTGTGAATTCTAAAAGAAATGATTGGTGCCTTACCTCAAGGCATTTTTAAGGTTGCTAGAAGGTTTTTTTAAAGCTTTTTCAAGGCTTTTTAAGGCTTTTTTTAATGTTGTTATATTGCAGGCTTGCCAATATTCTGTTGATTTGCGTAGGAAAGAATTTCAACATGATGCAGGGCTTCTAAGACGCGAGTTGACTTGGCAATATGTATCATGCTTCTGGCAATTATTAATTTTCTTTCATTATGATTATTTATTTTATTATTTCTTGTTGGGTACAATTAGATTTAATTGCCATTTGGGGAATAAAGCTGTCAACGAACACATTAATATTATTATGATGAAAAGACTTTCAGTTGAGGTAAGATATGAGCTAATTTTAAATTCTACTAGTTCTTTTGGGCGTACTTATAATTCACTACTAATGCATTTCACCTGGTTAGTTGTCACTATGCCCTTTTAAAGTCCTAAGTTGTCTACTCAACATTTTACAGTGAGTTTCCTGATTCCATTTGGTTTAACAGGTTAAAATGCCTCAAGATGCATCAAGCAACACTGTTGGTGATAAAAGGGGACTTCCAGGCTTTTAAATTTCCCGTCCCATATACTATTTCGAATTTTATGGATAGTAGTTTTGACATATGTAAATTGATTTTGTTGCTGTTTTTCTTTGCAAAGTAAGTTCTTGTAATTTCAGGATTTATTTCTCTTAAGTAGCGTGAGATTGAGCGCCAAATTTGTGAGCTTTGTCTACATCAAGCCAATAGGGTCTTGTTATTTATTTATTTGTTTTACATGAAGAAATGAAGATGATATGCTTTTTTATTCCCTTAAACATTTTAAGGCCACCTTTGAACTTGATTTTCTTTTCTTGGACAAGTTACAGTTTTTGGTGGGGATGGAGTGCCACGTCTTCGACGTGAAATTGAAAGGCATCACCGTGTATTTATTGTGCCTCCTATTGGTCCAATTGGGGCTCATGTGGTGAGTGATGAAGAATTGCTACAGAAAATTTTGAGCACACTTTTTATGCCTAGGAACTAAACAACTAAATCTTTATTTGTTAATATAAGATCGGCTTGTTCATTTGGTGTTGGCTACAGAATGCTGAACAGATTTTCCTTTCACTAGATTTCTCTGTTAATGGTAGGGGCAATTTAGGTAATTTTATAGTGAAAGAACATTTGCTCGCATGAGTTGTATTGAAGCTTCTTTTTTTCTTTGGAAAAATCGCTTAAAAATTGTTTTTAGTCTGAACATAGATCTCTTTTGATTCTAGAGGCTTTTTCCTATAAAAGTTTCTCCATTTTTAGTTTGTGCTATAGGTACAACAATAGGTATCACTGTTTCCATATTAAGTAATTCTTGACGACTTTCTGGCAACTGTAGTTAGTTTTGTGGTTATTGTGCTGCAGACATTACTCAATGGTTAAACATGGGCTCCTGCTGTTGAACAAGCTATTGGGAAGTTGCTAAATGCATTCATTGTGACAAATTCGCAGGATGCTAGTGCTCTTAGAAAATGTGCAAAGGAGTTAAGATATAATTATTTTCCGATTATTATACATAGGTTTTCGAGACCAAGGTGAAAGGATGAGAATTCCAATTTTCCTAAAAGCCTGTTTTCATAGTACTAATGTTTCAGTACAGTTTCCTTGATATATGGTTCTGCTTTCTTTGTAGGTTGATTATAACAGACCATTCACTCCCCCAGATGAACCACCCAGTTGCTCAATCTCTTTTACATTCTGATAATCCACTGTTTTCAATGTTTTGGTAGATGTGGTAATTTTTTTCCTTCTGTTTAAAATTCTTTTTCAAGCTTAATACTAGTCTAAAAAGTGTGTTTCCTTGCACATAATGCCTTTAAAAGTAAAATTGTGCCATTTTCACTGACTCTGTGTGCCTTAATTCCTTGCATAGGCTTGTGGGTGTACTAGTTACCGATTCAACTATAAACTAGTGACTTGTCACCTGCATCTTCCTAGTTTCCCCAACTAAGCAGTGAGTGGTGATTGGAGGAAAAGTGGTGTGGGTGGCATTCTTAGATTGGAGGATGGCTCGGTGAAGGGTTCTTTCCTAGAGGCGGCTGGTCCAGGTCCTCCGCTGTTGGTGGAGATTTTGGCAATTAAGAAGGGTTTATCTTTCTTTGAATCTTTTCTTCCGAGGGTTCAGGATCGTCTTATTATTGAATCTGATAGCAAACTAGCAGTGGAGTGGGTCAAGAACTATGATCGATGTCCTGTTGTTTATAGAGTTTTAGTGAGAGATATTGGTTTTTTGTTAAGAGATCTAAATGGTATTATTAGATGGGTTCCTAGATCAGCTAATGTTGAGGCTGACAGCTTAGCTAAGGCCGGTATCGGTTAGTTCTCAGTGTGTATGGATTCTTTTAGCATTTGGGTTTATTATTGTAAGGGAGAGTTCTGTTGTTAAACATTATGTAACTCTTGTTTATTAATGGTTATTAAGGCACCCTTTTCCTCCTTCCGCTGACTAAGGAACATTTTTTTGTTCCATTAATCATGAAGGGGGTTTTTAACGAGGCCTATCTTCTTATCAAAAAAAAAATATTTTCTATGTTCTTTACTTGCTAGTCTTGAGTTTTTCACTGTCATTTTATTTATCTGCTGATATTAAATTCAATGCATGTTTTTAGTGCTTGCAATGATGCAATATGGGTTGTTTTTATTAAACTACTACCACTTCTACATGTTAGGCAAACCTATGGTTGTAACCTTCCGTGCTTACTCGAATGATCAAATCCTTTCAATACTTCAGGGGAGGCTCCTGGTAATTACTGCATTCCATTTTCATTCATGATTCTGAATTACTTTGAATTTGATTTGTGAGGCAAATTCAATGTTTTTGAGTTTTCTTGGCTTTCTACTACAGGTACTTCCATATGTTGTCTTCCATCAGCAGGCTTTAGAACTTTGTGCCAGGGTAAGTTATATGACTTCTTTTGTAAGCCTCTTCCCTCCTTTAATTAATCTGCTTTCAACAGATTCTAATTACTTGAAATTAGCAGAAAGTTGCAGCTGCATCTGGGGATATGCGGAAAGCTCTTTCTGTTTGTAGGTTAGTGTTTCATTGCAACTTAATATTACTTCAAGCAATGCATTTCATTATAATTAATATTCCTGAAACATCGTTGGAGTCTGTGTTAGTGTTAAGGAATTTTTTTCATGGTTTAATATTTTTCCTAGGGGATACCAAAATAATAACTTGTATTTAAATTGTGGTTAGTTTATTTGGTAATGAATATGACCTCCTTAACATTCTTCGGGTTCCAGGAGTGCGGTGGAAATTCTTGAGGCAGAATTAAGGGAAACTGTAAGTGATGTCAGTTTGACATCAGTAGAGGGGGAGTTCACCAATCCACAGATGTGTCCTAATGAAGCCTTCCCTAAGAAAATATTACAGTAAACTTTCTCCAAATGTTATACCAAGCTTGATCTTGATACATTAGTCTTACACATTGTGCTTAACCAGTCACTTCTTCTACAGTTCCTTACACTTAATGATATGTTTCAGGTGAGGATTGACCATATGACTCTTGCATTGTCAAAGACATTCAGATCACCTATAGTTAACACTATACAGTCTCTTCCGCAGCATCAGCAAGTAAGCTTGAAGTGCATAACGAATACAACAGAACAATAGTTGAGATAATAGTCATGTCTTCGCTGCTTCATCTTCTCACTCTTAAGTTTGACTGCAGATTATACTTTGCTCTGCTGTGAAGTATTTCCGTGGTGGAAAGAAGGATACAACTGTTGGGGAGGTGTGTTTTCCCTTAAGTTTGATAGTAATTGCTGAATCATTTCATATTTGCAAAATTGACTTATAATGGTTGTATTCGGCTGCAGCTGAATAAATCTTACATTGGTATCTGTAAATCTGCATTGATTCCACCAGTTGGAATTTCAGAATTTTCAAGTCTGTGCGGAGTATCTTTTGAACATTCTCTTTGTTGTTTGTATCTCTTTTTGGGTTCATATATGTCAGTATGTCCTATGATCAATGCTTCACTTGTGTTATGCAGAAAAGGCGCTTGGATGTGGAGTGTGATTTCATGGTTAAGAGAATGAAACTGAAGGATGTGCAGAAGTCACATGCTGTTGACGCTAGTGCGTTGTCCGAGTCAACAACTAATGAACTTTTTCATGAAATTTCAGTTTGTTCCATGACTGACTTGACTTACAAACCTTGCTTTTATACTTATATTCCAGTAAGTTGTAATCCTTTTCTAATGATATTTTCATCATTGAATCGTGTTTAGGATGCTAAAATGTAGATTAAGAAGGAGGCATTTCTAGAAAAGCTTAAAGAGAGGTTTAATGCAGCAGAAGAAAAAGCCAGAACTCTTTAAGTTAACATTCGAAGATTTTGGGAGTATTATTTTAGTAAACTATATTTAATGTTTAGTTCAATTTTTCATGTGGCTTTACTTGCATTCAATTTACCCTCTATGCGTATCATAGAATCAACAAAGGGGGAGGTTAAAGCTTTTCATAAAGCATAGGACGAACTAATAGAGATAGAGAAAGAGAGAAATAATGCAGAAGCAGTCTACTTTTTGCTCCATTAACTTTTTATTCATTTACTTCTGCAACTATCGTGTGGAAACTTGAATTCAGAAATTGAAGTTTCTGTTTCAGAATAGGGTCCAGTAAGAAAATGTTCTGGAAGAAAAGGTTCGTCCTTAGTAGAGTTATCTAAATTCTACTTGTTCTTTTGGTCGTTCTTACAATTTACTAATGCATTTTGCCCGGTCACTATGCCCATTTAAAGTCCTAAGCTATCTACTCAGAATTTTACAATGGGTTTGCTGATTCCATTTGGTTTAACAGGTTAAAATGCCTCAAGATGCATCAAGCAACACTATTCGTGATACAAGGGGACTTTCAGGTTTTTAAATTTCCCGTCCCATATACTCTTTAGTATTTGTTCTTCTGGCTTTCAATGTCATCACTACAGAAAATTATCTACATGTGGCTTCATGGCTATTGTTTAATCCAAATAAATGTTTTATCTTTTTGGGAATACTCCCAAATCATCTATAAGTTAAAGAGGTTAGAAGAGTCTGAAATTTTCATAATTGATTAATGTTGAACTCCAGTTCTATTCTGATGATTTGTTAACAAGGAGGGGAGCGCTTTTTTTTTATAAAAAGGAATGTCTCATTAAAACCCCCTTCATAACCGTCAAGCAACAAAGACTCAACGGACATTGGAAGGAGGAAAATAGTACCTTCGAAATTTTATTGCATAAGAACCAAGTACAATAAGATCATACTACCGCCCAAAAACGGTGGCAGCCCACTCAACCCATTGCTAAACAGCAGTACCTACATGAATATGTTTATACCCTACAACAAAACTAACTCAAATGATGATCAACCAATTACAAACAAAATTCAGTCCCTAATGTTCCTGAAATCCCAAAAATAGAAAAACAACAACCCAATTAATTCCCCATCATTCAACCAATCCCTTGTTTGGCAAGCTTATCCACTTCACAATTTGCTACTCTGGCCACATGCCGGACAATGACCCCTTTATTGACCACGATGTCTGCAATATCTTTAACAATAGATAGAAACATCGGAGTGGAGATAGCTAGATTTTTTATCCATTCCACTGCCACTGCACTATCGGACTCCAAAATAATCCTTTGATTCACTGACAAATCCGAATCCAGGAACAAATTCAAACCTCTCTTCATTGCCATCAATTCTACCATAATAGGAGGATCAGATCCAACTTGTTTTGAGAACGAACCCAACATCACTCCTTTCTCATCTCTTATAAGTCCACCAATTCCTCCCTTCGACCACCACCTATCCATAGCACCATCTACATTCAGTTTAACAAAACCCGTAGGTGGAGGAGATCAATTGACTACGTTTTGCGATATCTTTTCGTCGAACACTACACGATCAACTAGCGGCAGATCCCCCACAAGACTATCAAAAGAGACCATCAATTTGGGAAATTTTGAAGAAAACCATGATTCCACTCTGTACCTTGATAGAAAAGATAAGTGAAATCTAATTTCCTATTATTAAAAATAATATCATTTCTCATTTTCCAAATTGACCACAAAACCGCTCTTGGGATGAAGGTCCAGAGTCCAGACACATGAACGTGGCACAAGATCAAACCAAACTGAAAATAGGGCTACAGGGCACTCTGGAATTGCAAAGGAAACCTCCCACTGGCGCAAGAAGCTAGTCCATAACCCCAAGACACTTTGCAAGAAAAGAATAGATGAGAAACCGTTTCTTGAACCAACCCACAGAACGGACAATACGAATCTTCTATACTTTGCACCCCATGTTTTATTAACTCTACCTTGACCGCAACCTTCTTGTGAACCAGTTGCCAAATAAAATATTCAACCCTAGGAGGAGCTACACCGGCCTAGACATTTCTTTTCCAGGGAAAACTATCGAACGAGGTTCCAAAAAAAATTCAAGACAAGATTTCACTGAAAACCTCCCATCTCCTTCTCCCCCCATACAAGAGTATCATCCATCGATGACGAAGGATTTAAATTATACAACAATGCCATAAGCTCATTCCATTGCATCAACTCCCAATCGACAAGATTTCTCCTCATGGCAATATCCCAGAAACAACCTGACGAATTATTTTTCCTAAAATCGGCGATCTTCCCCTCCTTGTTGATTGATAATGCGAACAATCGAGGAAAACATACCTTCAAAGAAACTCCATCCAACCATACGTCATGCCAGAATCTTATTGATTCCCCATTGCCCGCCTTCAGCAGAAAGTTACTTCGCAAACATTCCCCAAATTCGTCATGGGAGCAACAATTCTTCACAACCCCTTTCCATATCCAAGAAGCTTTGTAAGAGGCCGAACTATCTACCCCCATAGTATTCGGATTAATATTGTTTGTGTTGGCTCTTCATGATATGACTGAAGCCACATTTCGAGCTATGGGTGAGTTTGACGTTTTCATTGTGGGTGATTTTGTTTCTTTTTTGGGTTGGGGACTTGGGGTTGTAGTTATTAGCATCACATCCCTTGGGATTAAGGTAAATGCTATTGTCCGTCAAAGGGGACTTGTGGACTGAGCAGTTATGATATGTGTAATATTTTCCTCCAGGATGCTGTTAGCCAAAAAATTAGCCTGAACACCTTAGTTGAATTGGTTGTTTTCTTTTATCTTTTCCCCTTTTATTTTCTGCCCCTTTTATCTTTATGATATGACCGAAGCCCCATTTCGAGCTATGGATGAGTTTGACGTTTTCATTGTGGGTGATTTTGTTTCGTTTTTTGGTTGGGGACTTGGGGTTTTAGTCATTAGCATCACATCCCTTGGGATTAAGGCAAATGCCATTGCTCATAGCAATAACTCGTGGACTGAGCAGTTATGTTATGTGTAATATTTTCCTCCAAGATGTAGTTACCCAAAAAATCATCCTGTACACTTTGGTTGAATTTGCATATTCTATTGTTTTTTTTATCTTTTCATCTTTTGTTAACTACTTTTGTTAACTAGTCTGGTAAAAGTTAACTCTCATTCATTGACCATGAATATTTTTATTATTTGCAGGAGAAATTGGACGAACGCTTTTCAAAGAAGAAAGTTCAAGTTGCTTTTTTGGTGGAAAAAACATATGAAGTTCGTAGAAGGAAAGATGAATTGCGGGATGCTTTTTACTTGGTACATTAATTGTTCCCCATCTTTGTTATTTCAAAAGACAGGTTGAATCACAAGTCTTATGTTGTGCGTCAACCTTTCGGTGATTACTTGATTTCCTTAACATTTTGGCTAGGCTTATTATCAGTTTTTTTTTCTTTTTTAACTAAGGGAAAATATTGCACAACAGTTTATTTCGATTAGTTTAGTCACGATTAAATACGAATAAAAGCTGAATTTTGAGTTTTTGTATCGAACTCTTTCCTCGTTATTGTCTGCTCATTGGTCTATCATCATATTCTATAATTCATGTGTAAGCTTTTATGCGTATGCTGTGTAATCATTGGTCTGACCTTAATATTTATAATTTTACGTTCAACTTTTTGTTTGTTTGATTGTTTTTGATTTCTGAATTTTCATCTCTGTTCATTATAGGCAAGAAATAAAAAGTTTAAGCTTGAAGAAGAGCATCGCCGTGGCACTCAGCAACTCCAAAGGATGTTGAATGATGTTAGGATGCTTGAAGCAAATCCATGATATTCAGGAGAATCATATTAGAAATACACAGGTCTTTCATGGTTTTTTCTTCAACGTCACTTGTTAGTATTTTCTTTTTGACTACTGATGAGGTACCATTCATTTTGAAATAACATATATGTTAAAGTATGCTTATTCTTACATAATATTCATGTATTGTGTGCACGTTTTAATTTGACATTCTGTGAAAAATATATGTATTTTGAGTTCAATTAGAAATATGACTATTTTTATGCATGTAACAACATAGAAAAATACGATCTTGTTTACATCTTTAAAAGAGTACATCCTAGTAGGTACACAACCATGTGTATCTTTTTTTTTTTTGGAAAAATCATTTAAAAATTGTTTTTAGTATGAACATAGATCTCTTCTGATTCTAGAGGTTTTTTCCTATGAAAGTTTCTCCATTTTTAGTATTTTCTATAGGTACAACCATATGTATCACTGTTTTCTTGACAACTTTCTGGCAATTGTTGTTAGTTTTCTGGTTATTGTGCTGCAGACACTAGTCGATGGTGATACGTGTGTTCCTGCTGTTGAACAAGCTATTGGGAAGTTGCTAAATGCATTCAGTGATAAATTCTCAGGATGCTAGCGCTCTTAAAAAATGTTCAAAGGAGGCAAGATATAATTACGTTCCGATTGTTATACATAGGTTTTCGAGACCAAGGTGAAAGCTTGAGAACTCTAACTTTCTTAAAAAGACTCTTTTCATAGTACTGATGTTTGAGTACTGTTTCTCTGATATTTGGTTCTTTCTTTTGTATGTTGATTATACCAGATCATTCACTCCCCTAGACGAACCACCCAACTGCTTAATCTCTTTTACATTAGGATAATCCTATTGCTTTCAATGTTTTGGTGTATGTGGTAATTTTTTTCCTTATGTTTAAAATTTCTTTTCAAGCTTAATACTTGTGTAAAAAGTGTTTCCTTGCACATAATGCATATCATTAAAAGTAAAATTGTGCCATTGTCACCGACTCTACAACAACAACAAAACCCTATTCCCATATGCAATGGGGTAAGGGGAGGTAGGGTAGTAGGCTGCCCCCAACGCCAGGTTGAGAACAGCTTTCGTGGACGACCTCCGGCAGTCAAAAAATTAAAAATAAAGATAAAATGCAATGCATGTATAAATAAATAAATAGTTGAACAGTCTTCATATGCGCGTTTGTAATGGGAAGTAATCCCTGCAAATAAATCCATGCGTAAAAATCTCTGTATATAGACAGAAACGTAAGACCCGACTAAATTTAAAAAGAGGAAACATGAAGGGAAGGATACACAGAAGTCACTGACTCTGTGTGCCTTAATTCCTTGCATAGGCTCGTGGGTGTAATAATTACCGATGGCAAGAATTTCTTCATCTTCCCTAAGCTTATCTTTTAATCATTCTCCTTGTTGTTTGAATCTCTTTTTGGGTTCATATATGCCCGTATGTCCTATGATCAATGCTTCACTTGTGTTGTGCAGAAATGGCGCTTGGACATGGAGCGTGATTTCATGGTTAAGAGAAGGAAACTGGAGGGTGTGCAGAAGTCGCATGCTGTTGATGCTAGTGTGTTGCCTGAGTCAACTACTAATGAACTTCTTTAAGAAATTTCAGCTTGTTCTATGACTGAAAACCTTGCTTTTATACTTATATTTGAGCAAGTAAAAATCATTTTCTAATGATATCTTCATCATTGAATTGTCTTTAGGATGCTAAAATTTTGATCCAGATGGAGGCGTTGCTAGAAACACTTAAAGAGAGGAATAATGCAGCAGAAGAAAAAGCCAGAACTCTTAAGTTATCGTTCGAAGATTTTGGGGGTATTATTTTAGTAAACTATATTTAATATTTAGTTCAATTTTGCATGTGGCTTTACTTGCATTCAATTTAACCCCCTATGCGTATCATAAAATCATCAAAGGGGGAGGTTGAAGCTTTTCATAAAGCATTGGAGGAACTAACAGTCTAACAGAGATAGAGAAAGAGAGAAATAATGCAGAAGCAATCTACTTTCTTCTCCTTTAACTTCTTATTCATTTACTTCTGCAACTATCTTGTGGAAACTTGAATTCAGAAATTGAAGTTTTTGTTTCAGAATAGGGTCCAGTACGAAAATGTTATGAAAGAAAAGGTTCTTCCTCAAATTAAGGAGGCAGAGGCAGAATATGTGGAACTAGAAAAGAATCGTAAGGTTGATATTTATGCCTTTCAAGATATACTAACCAATTTTAGCCCATGTTATACTTCTGCAACTATTGTATAGAACTTGAATTCAGAAATTGAAGTTTTTGTTCAGAATAGGGTCCAGTATGAAAATGTTATGAAAGAAAAGGTTCTTCCTCAAATTAAGGAGGCAGAGGCAGAATATGTGGAATTAGAAAAGAATCGTAAGGTTGATATTTATGCCTTTCTAAATATACTATCCAATTCTAGCCCATGTTGTATTTTGCAACATTGCAGGAGAGCTGCAGAAAGGCTTCTTCCTTAGAGTGAAATTAACGCTTAGAAGACTTGGAAGTACAAAAATCAGAGACTTATGCATGAAGGCAATCGGTATGGGGTGGTTAATTTTTGATGTTTCACTTTGAAAATACCCTAATATCTGTTTGCAGTTGGATTTCATCTTAACTTTTGATTTTCTGCAGATATTCAGAGAACCGATTGATGATCTTAGGATATTGTATCTGGAGAAAGAGCATAGAAATTTTAGGAAATTGCATATTTTTTTGATAAGATTGGAAGGCCTCGTTAAAAACCCCCTTCTTGGTTAAATGAGCTTAGGGGTAAGCTCCTTAATCAGCGGAAGGAGAAAAAGAGCGCCTTAAAAATTTTATTAATAATAAAAGTTTACATAAGATTTAAACACTACACCAAATTACATCACATAAAACTTAACAACTACTTTCAACTAGACCTCCTCGCCGGATCAGAAAATCCAGTGATAGAGCCTTACAATCAACCTATCCCTTTCTTAGCTAAGCTATCAGCCTTACAATCCAGGAAATTGCATATTTAAAAAGCCTTTCAAGAAAGATTAGATGTAAGTTCCACTGTTGTTCAATTTGCCATGAATTGGACATTTGGTCTGGCTAACCTTGTTCCAACTGTATTTTGAGAAAGAACCTTGAAAGAGATTAAGGTCAAGAAAGACCTTAATAGAGTTATTTATTTTTTAATCTCAACTAATCTTTTCTAATATTTGGAATTCTGAATTATGATGTGAATCTTTTTCCGACTGTTTTGTAGGTTATATGGCATTTGATAGTTGTTTCATTATAATGTCATTTCTCCTAATTATGAATTCTGAAAGAAATTATTAGTGCCTTACCTCAAGGCTTTTTTAAGGTTGCTAGAAGTTTCTTAGCTTTTTTCCTTCTGCTTTGGTTGTTATATTGCAGGCTTGCTAAAATGCTCTTAATTTGCGTAGGAAAAAATTTCAATGTAAAGCGCTAAGACGGAAGTTGACTTGGTATCATGTTTCTTGTAATTATTAATTTTCTTTTATTATGATTATTTATTTTATTATTCATTGTTGGGTACAATGAAATTTAATGGCCATTTGGGGAAGAAAGGTGTCAGCAGACACATTAATGTTAATTATGATGAAAAGACCCTTTCAATAAAGGTAAGCTATCTAAATTCTACTTGTTCTTTTGGCCGTACTTACAATTCGCTACTTCTGCATTTCGCCTGGTCACTATGCCCTTTTAAAGTCCTAAGTTGTGTCTACTCAGTATTTTACAATGGGTTTGTTGATTACATTTGGTTTAACAGGTTAAACTGTCGTTCGTGATACAAGGGGACTTTAAAGTTTTTAAATTTCTCGTCCCATAAACTCTTTAGAATTTGTTTTTCTGGCTTTCAATGTCATCACTACATAAAATTATCTACATGTGGCTTAATGGCTATTGTTTAATCCAAATAAATTTGATATCTTTTTGGGAACTTTTTACTCCCAAATCATCTATAAGTTAAAGAGGTTAGAAGAGTCTGACATTTTCATAATTGATTAATGTTGAACTCTAGTACTACAATGATGATTTTTTAACTAGGAAGGGAGCGCTTCTTCTTAACATTATGCTTTGCGCTGGCTCTTCATGATAGGACCGAAGCCCCATTTTGAGCTATGGATGAGTTTGGCGTGTTCATGGTGAGTGTTTTTTTCTTTTTCCTTTTTTGAGTTAGGGACTTGGGGTTGTAGTCCTTAGCATCACATTCCGTGGGATTAAGGTAAATGCTATTGTCCGTCAAGAAGTAATAACTCATGGACTGAGCAGTTATATTATTTGTGACTTTTCATATACTATTGGTGGTTAGACTACCATATTTTGCCCAGTTATGATAATGAATGCTTATTGTTTTCTTTTGTCTTTTCCCCTTTTGTTAGCTAGTAAAAGTTAGCTCTCATTCATTGATCATGGAAATTTTTATTATTTGAAGGAGAAATTGGAGAAGTTGGACGACGCCTTTCAAAGAAGAAAATTCAAGTTGCTTCTCTGGTGGAAAAACATATGAAGTTAGAAGAAGGAAAGATGAATTGCAGGATGCTTTTTGCTTGGTACATTAATTGCTCCCCATCATTGTTTCTCTAAAGACAAGTTGAATCACAAGTCTTATGTTGTACATCAACCTTTCGGTGATTACTTAATTTCCTTAGCATTTTTGCTAGGCTTATTATCATTTTTTTTCTTTTTTTAATTGAGGGCAAATATTGTAAGACTGTTTATTTCGATTGATTTAGTCACTGTTAAATACAGATAAAAGCTGAATTTTGAGTTTTCGTAACAAACTCTTTCCTTCTTATTTTTTGTCTACTTATTGTTCTATCATGATATCATAGAATTCATGTGTAAGCTTTTATTTGTATGTTGTGTAATCATTGGTCTGACCATATTATTTATAATTTTACGTTCAAGTTTTTGTTTGTTTGATTGTTTTGAATTTCTGAATTTTCATCTCTTGTTCATTATAGGCAAGAAATGAAAAGCATCGTCGTGGCACTCAGCAAATCCACAAGATGTTGAATGATGTTAGGATGCTTGAAGAACAAGTCCATGATATTCTGGATAATCATATTAGAAATACACATGCCTTTCATGGTTTTTTCTTCAACTTGACTTGTTAGTGTTTTCTTTTTGACTATTGATGAGGTATCATTCATTTTGAAATAACATATATGTTAAAGTATGCTTATTCTTACATAATATTCATGTATTGTGTGCACGTTTTAATTTGATATTTTGTGAAGAACATATGTATTCTGAGTTCAATTAGAAATATGGTTATTTTTATGCATGTAATAACTTAGAAAAATACGTGTTTGTTAACATCTTTAAAAGAGTACACTCTAGTAGGGCTTAGTCATGCAATATAGAAATACGGAAGCCATTTTCCTCCATCTGATACAATGTTTTTGAAAATTTATCTCTATTTCTTTTTAACCTTTTCAATTGGTAGCAATATAAAAAGTTTTGTGATTAATGCTTTTCTGTTCTTATATTCAACAATTGTAAGCGTGAAAGGTGTTTTGTTTTAGAAACTTTGCCTTTTGATGTACTAATTCATAGAACTGTTAAACTGGGGCCGTCCTTAGTGTATTATAGACTAACCTTCTCCATCCAGATGAAAATAGCTCTACTATGTTGCTTATTTTTTTGGATCCTTATTTTGTTTATTATTCCTTATCTAGTTGTTAAACGATTAGTTTGATCTGTTAATATAAAGTGGCTGGTGAATGTTTTGTTTAATTTTGTTATACTTCGGAGGAAGGTAAGACTCATGGTTTTTCTTTTGTTGCTCCGCAGGCTGAGGAATCAGAAACAGAGGAACAAATAAAAATACTTGAATATGCCGTTGATAGCAGGGATTCAAATAGCGGAACGCAACCGCAATATCGGCCGTTATTTCGCGGTAGTGCCGCTGTCCGAAATCGATATTCGGGAAAATTGCGGTGGGTAAGAAAATCACATCAATAACGGTTTGTCGCGGCCGCTATTTAACGTTTAACAGTGAATAGCGTCGATAACGGGACGCTATTCTCGTTATTCACAAGTTTTCGCATAAAAGAAACCCACTACCCTAGCTTGCTCTCATCATCAAAATAGAGCAAACATTAAAAAGAGAGAGAAACAAGCAATGCCAGAGAAAGTGAGTAAGCTTTTTAACTGGTTGAGAGCTGGTCGATAAGTAAATGGGTCTTCATTTTTATGCTCATATTTGCTCATTCATCTTCTTCTTCAAGATGGTATGTACTATCACTTTCCTCCATTTTTTTGAAGCTCTAATTTGCATTGTTTGTTGATTATGCTTTCTGGGTTTTTTGCTTTTGTTTGAGATATGTTAATTCCTTTAGCTACAGTAGCTTGATGAATCGGGATTCAGTTGATTTTAGCTAATACATTGACTTGAGGGGGAGTTGAGAGACAGAGATGGCTCTGCCGTGAGAGGGGGTAGGGAGTTGATTTGAGTGGGAGTGGATTTGGATAGGGGGAATTAATTTTAATTTTAAATCATTAAATTATAATTTAAGAGAGAGTAATGTGGGTTATGAGTTGTCTTTGATTTCAAATTAGAGATGATTTTTTTAAATAATTTTTAAAATTATTTGAAGAATTGAGTTTTCTATTTTTTTAAATAATTTTTAAAATATAATTTTAAAGGATATATTAATTTGACATCCCTCTCACCTTTTAGAATTTATAATTTAATCCTTAGTTTAAAATGTAAACTTTTATTTTTATTTAATTTAGTCCTAATTTCTATTTGGTTAAACTATATATATATATATATATATATATATATATCATTTTCGCTTAGAAAACATTCTAAAAATCATTAAAATTATTCATTGTAATTATAATTATTTTTATTATATTTTAGGATAAGTTGTGCAAAATTTAAAAAAATTCATGACCGTGACACCCGCAGTGACCGCGATGACATCCGTTATGTCCGCAACCACGATAAACGCGATGTGACCGAAAACGTGACCGCGAATGCTATTTAAATCCCTGGTTAATATTATCAAAACAGTGCTCTCTAGGTTATTCAATTTTTCATTTCCTTGCTCATATGCCCTTGTTACCACTTAGTTATTCTAGATCTCTTTGACCCTTAAAATATTCTTACCAGTTTGAAGGATGAGGAAAATACTTCATCAGAACATCTCTCAGAAGAAATGGATGCAATGAAGAAGATTAATGAAGACGTATGGGGAAGGTTAGAGATTATTAAAATTTATATGAATTTGAATTTGCTTTTCCATTTTGACTCTTTGGTTTTGAATTATGATTTTTATAATATAACCCTAGGTATATGCAAAACATAACCTGTTATGGTGTCTTTAGGCGGTAAACATTTAGAATGGTCATGAAAAATGAAAAGGCCTGGTTCCTTTATCAAGTTAAGTTACTATTACTTCAAAATACTCTTATATCTGATTACTTCTGAGTTCTGACTGCAGTGATCCTTTTTTTTAAAAAAAAATCTTTTTTACTTGTTCATTTTCTGTGGTGAGGCTTTAGTTTAGATGGTAAAGGTTTTCGGGGATAAGTGATGGAAAATTGAAAGGTACATCATTATAACATGCCAAATATACCAAACATTCTCAAGATAATAATTGGTTCAAACTTTATATTCGAGCACTTATGACTGCTGTTAATTTTCCTTTTAAATCCTATTTTACATGTTCAATTTGTGAAGAGGAGTTAGTTTAGATGTTAAGAGGTTTTAGAGGATAAGTGATCATGGAAATGAAAGGTCCAACATTATAACATTCCAAGATTATGTGGGACATTCTCAGGTTAAATTATTGACATGTTTTTTTTAAATAAAAAAAGCAATTTTTTTTGCATGCGCAATTTGTATGGATAGTAATTTTGACATATGTAAATTAACTTTGTTGCTGTTTTTCTTTGCAGGGTAAGTTCTTGCAATTTCAGGATTTATTTCTCTTAGCTTATAGAAATAGTTTCTTCTTGAAGATCTTCACATCACTGATCCATTTTTCCTTTTATAGATTAAGTACCATGAAAAAAAGCAGCTTGAGATTGATCATCAAATTCGTGAGCTTCGTCTACATCAAGCCAACAGGGTCTGGGCAACTCTTTTTATTTATTTATTTGTTTTATATGAAAGATGAGGATGATGTGCTTTTCTATTCCCCTAAATATTTTAAGGTCACCTTTGAACTTGATTTTCTAATCTTGGACAGGTTACAGTTTTTGGTGGGGATGGAGTGCTACGCCTTCGACGTGAAATTGAAAGGCATCACCGTGCATTTACTGTGCCTCCTATTGATCCAATTTGGGCTCCTTTTTACTTTTTGATTGTTATACATAGGCAAGATTTAATTACTTTTCGGCTCAGATGAACCAACCAGCTGCTCAATCTCTTTTACATTATGATAACCCTACTGTTTTCAATGTTTTGGTAGATGTGGTAATTTTTTTCATTCTGTTTAAAATTCTTTTTCAAGCTCAATACTAGTCTAAAAAACGTGTTTCCTGGCACATAATGCCTACCTTTAAAAGTAAAATTGTGTTGTTGTCACCGACTCTGTGTGCCTTAATTCATTGTATAGGCTCGTGGGTGTGATAATTACCGATGGCAAGAATTCCCTTCATCTTCCCTAAGCATATCTTTTTAATCATTCTCTTTGTTGTTTGTATCTCTTTTTGGGTTAATATATGCCAGTATGCCCTATGATCAATGCTTCACTTGTGTTATGCAGAAAAGCCGCTTGGATGTGGAGAGTGATTTCATGGTTAAGAGAATGAAACTGGGGGATGTGCAGAAGTCACATGCTCTTGATGCTATTGTGTTGCCTGAGTCAACTACTAATGAACTTCTTCAAGAAATTTTAGTTTGTTCCATGACTGACTTGGCTTACAAACCTTGGTTTTATACTTGTATTTCAGTAAGTTAAAATCCTTTTCTAATGATATCTTCTTCATTGAATCGTCTTTAGGATGCTAAAATGTTGATCAAGAAGGAGGCGTTGCTAGAAAAGCTTAAAGAGAAGTTTAATGCAGCAGAAGAAAAAACCAAAACTCTTGATTTATCATTTGAAGATTTTGGGGGTATTATTTTAGTAAACTATAGTTAATGTTTAGTTCAAATTTTCATGTGGCTTTACTTGGATTCAATTTACTCCCTATGTGTATCATAGAATCAACAAAGGAGGAGGTTGAAGCTTTTCAGGAAGCATAGGAGGAACTAACAAAGAGAGAGAAAGAGAGTAATAATGCAGAAGCAGTCTACCTTTTGCTCCATTAATTTTTTATTCATTTACTTCTACAATTATCGTGTGGAAACTTGAATTTAGAAATTGAAGTTTATGTTTCAGAATAGGGTCCACTACGAATATGTTATGAAAGAAAAGGTTCTTCCTCAAATCAATGAGGCAGAGGCAGAGGCAGAATAAAAAGAATCGTATGGTTGATAATTATGCCTTTCTAGATATACTAACCAATTGTAGCCCATGTTATATTTTGCAGCGTTGCAGGAGAGCTATAGAAAGACTTTTTAACATTTGTCCTGAGAGTGAAAGTGTCGCTTAGAGTGTAACACCCTCAACCTGTATCCGACCCGAATACGAGTTTGAGGTGTCACATTGACTTTTCAAACTTTGACTCTTACCAAATTCAAAGAAAAATTTAAAACTTTCATTAAAATAAAAACTGTGTATTTACATAAATTGACCAAAATCGATCAGAGCATATTCAACTCAATCAATTAGTACATGCTAACTATATTCAGATTAATATACACATTTAAATCATCTATTTTCTGACCTGAAACTTTGTAAGGAAAATGTTGACTTGTCTTGCTCCTTTTAGCTCTTTACTCTTCTCACTTCTGTAACCTACGTGTGAAATAATCACACGCCAAGTCGTTGACTTAGTGAGGCATAAAACATATAATAAAACTCTAACTCGTAATCATGCTTGAACAATTTCTACTAACATATCACATACGAGCATCATACTCACATATACATGTAATAATTCCTACTATGCACCTTTCATATATATATATATATATTCACGCATACATATAATTATCTTCTTTCCTATCATTATCATATTATCACCTTTCATATTTCTATTCTCTTGTTTATATGATCAATTAAGATCATATCATATATTTTATAGCATATACAATAATCACTAATACACATATATCATATACAGTACATTCCATGTTATCTCTTATTAGCCCATGTGCACTTGTGAGAACTGTAGATATGTGAGTCTATTGAGGTTGTGCACCACTATGTTGTCACCACAGCTCATATAAATGTCCCGAAAGACCTATCCAGAGGTCACAAAGACCTCGGTAACTATCCAGAGATCATAAAGATCTTCGGTAACTGTCCAGAGGTCATAAAGATCCTCGGTAAACTGTCCATATGTTCCTTAGAACATAAGTATACTGTCCATATGTCTCGAAAGACATAGGTAAAACCTCGACTCTTGGCATGCCAACTATACCCCTAGCTCTCATATCACATAACATGGGCATTATCATTTATAACATTTCATATCACTTGTTCTTTCTCTTCTGTCACATACCACATGTATGTGTAACCATATATTTCATATCATATCACATGTATCACATATTGCATATTCATGTAATCATATAGATCATGTCACATGGCTTATATTATTTCTCATACTCATATATATATATATATATATATATATATATATATATATATATATATATATATATATATATATATATATATATATATATATATATAGTTCACTTTCACATATCATATTTTCCTTTTCTCCTATTTTTCATATCATGTCTCTTATAACAACATATGTCTGTCTTATCTCATATCCTATTATTCTTTAGCTTATATCTTATATCACATGTTTATATCATATAACTTATGTAATCACATATACTATTTATACTAGTTCACATAGCTTATTTCACTAACATGTATTCACACAATTCATGTAACATATGCAATAATATATATATCACATACACTCATTTATATAAGCTCTACTATGGAAAATAGACTTACCACTATTCCCATAGTATATCCCATAGACATGTAACTTTTCATGCATGTTCATTTCAAGCATATCAAATAATGCATATGGTATGAATTCATATCATGTTTCATAATATTGAATGAATCATGTATCAAAATATTAAATCTAGACTTATCGCAAGTCTAGAACTGAATATACTAACATAATCATTCTATGCATATGCACTCACCTTAGCTTTGCTTTGATTCGCTTATAATCCTTTACTACATCATCATACATAGATCTATATTAGTATTATAACTAATATACTCTAATGGTTCACTCTTTAGACTAAGAGAAAAGGTAATTTCATCTTTTAATGAAGGTATGCATCGATGCACTACTGATGCATCAGTGCATAAAATGCATTCGATATTTGTTTATTACTGGGATGCATCGATGCATGCCTTATGCATCGATGCACTAATTGCATTCGATGTTTCCTTATTAATGGGATGCATCGATGCACGAATTGCATTCGATGTATTTATTTTAAAAGAGTGCATCGATGCACTACCAATGCATCGATACACCTTTAAACAAATTTCTGGGTTTTAACCTTGATGCATCTATGCACTATGAATGTGCATCGATGTACTCTGCCCAGAACCTCTTTTTGAACCCGAAAATTCATTCTTTTTAAATTAAATCCTTCATATTTCAACCCCTTTCATATTCCTAACTTTCATATACATACTTAAACTCATTAATATTCATTTATCTCATCTTTAACCTTAATATCCTCTCCTCTTTAGGAATTTCAAGAATCATACCCTATTTTCCACATGTTTCAAATCCAATTCTAACACTTAATACTTCTTAATTAAGCTGATGACAAGTCAAATTTAGCTTCAAATTTAACTTATCAACTCCATTATGGAAATTCACTCAAGAACTCCAAATCTTTAATCTTCCCTAACTCATTTATCTTTTGATTTTAAAATAACTTAAGCTTTCCTTAAGCTTAAGTATCACCTAAGAATCATAACCCAACTTTTAATTCAACAAATAACCAACTAATTAAGAAACTCACCTTTGAGCTGGAGCTTCACGCACAAAGAAGAAAGGAGGAGAAGAGAATTCTGGAAACTTTGTTTCCCTCATTTCCCACGTGTAAATATATATCCACACTAGCACATTTTTTAATTCCTTAAATGATCAAATGACCATTTTACCCTTTAGTTCCTTTAATATTTACTAACAACTTTTAGGAAATATTTCCAAATAAATCACTGAACTAATCCATTCTTATACTTTAGTCACCAAATTCTGAAACTTTACAATTTGGTCACTAACCCATAGTTTGGGATGTTACAAATCTCCCCTCCTTTTAAGAAAATTCATCCTCGAATTTTCATTGTACATATCGACAAAAACATATCTTTTCATTCATGTTCATATACTTTTTTCCTATCACTTAAACTTATCTCTGATTACCAGTCTTTATTATATCTTTATAACTTTACTAATCAACTTCACTTATTGAACCCATACTCTCATTTATATACAGTATTATGCCTTGTCACCTTTATTACCTTTCATTTCAATGATTAAAATACATAACCATATCTCAATCCACACCATACATAATTAGCTTACCCTGAAATCATCTTCTAATCCTTTAACTTTAATACACTACTATCTTATAACTCTATTAGTCAACATCGATTCTTCCAATCTAAAACATAAACCTTCATCGAACCATTCATATACCTTCTTTGCAGTCGAAATTATTTCAACAATAGTTTACTCAAACATTTGAATCCTCACTTCCTTCACTCTATCACTTTACTATAATCACAGTATACAACTGTATTCAGATTCACTTCATATTTGGTTATCATAACCTACCATATCTTGAAATCTTGTAATTTCAATACATTCCGTCCCATAATCTTGTTAGCCTACGCTAACTCTTTCCATCTTAAATACAAAAACAGTATCTACCTCACTTGATACATTTAAAATACTTCTTATCCTTCACATTATTATTTAATTTCTAGCAAAACACTTAATCCATTCCTTGGTCTTTATCCATTTATCCTTTTTATAATCCGCATTGTCTTATACATAACTAAACCATATCATGTTCTTCATACTCCCATGCTCTTTTATATCACATATATTTATCCTTAACTGTCACTCCTTATCACATTTTCATTACTTTGATAGTCAACTTTACTTGCACAAAACCTTATTCTTTACCATTCGTATACTTACGTTTTCTCCACTTGTTTAAAAAAATATCACCAGATTTCAATACTCATCTAATCCATTTAAAATACTTTTTCTGCTTCGATTTACATAACTTCTGAAAGAGCTTTTAACCCAATTCACCAGGGTTGTCTTTAACCCTGACTTATCCTCAATTAACTCTTTGTTTAATCTTTCAAGATCAAACCTACTGTTGGAGTCTGTCGAACTCTCATCTGATTTGATTCTCTGACGGAGAATACAACTAATTCATATCTGGTTTAAAATTGAAAACCAGAATTTCTAGCTTTCTGTAACGGTGCTTAACTCTATGAAGCACTAATTTTCTTAATCATTGGAGATTTATGTTCTTCAATCCTTCCATAACAATGGAACATTTCTCAAATTCACCCTTGAACTCGGGTGTTCTCAACTTTATCAACTAATTTGATACATTCATTCTATGAGTTAAAGAAGTATAAATTGAAAACACATCAGAACATTCTTCAACATGAAGAATACTTTTCCAAATTTTATGCAGGCACTTCCTGAGGTGTTCGCTCTTCTCCCTGCCTGGCCAGGACATGTGAATGTTATTACCTTCAGGTTTATTACCTTTCACTTCTTTTGAAGCTCTTATTATCATACTTCTATTATCACATAATAATCTATTTTTATTAGCAAGACATGATACTCCTTACACTATCAGATCAGAATTTTTCACTTTGAGTTGGCATGTACATTTTTTAAAACACTTCTGACTTCGATTTAAGCCTAGAATCGGCTAAACCGTAGCTCTGATACCATTAAATGTAACACCCTCAACCCGTATCCGACCAGAATACGAGTTTGAGGTGTCACATTGACTTTTTAAACTTTGACTCTTACCAAATTCAAAGAAAAATTTAAAACTTTCATTAAAATAAAAACTGTGTATTTACATAAATTGACCAAAATCGATCAGAGCATATTCAACTCAATCAATTAGTACATGCCAACTATATTCAGATTAATATACACATTTAAATCATCTATTTTCTGATCTGAAACTTTGTAAGGAAAATGCTGACATGTCTTGCTCCTCTTAGCTCTTTACTCTTCTCACTTCTGTAACCTACGTGTGAAACAATCACACGCTAAGTCGTTGACTTAGTGAGGCATAAAACATATAATAAAACTCTAACTCGTAATCATGCTTGAACAATTTCTACTAACATATCACATACAAGCATCATACCCACATATACATGTAATAATTCCTACTATGCACCTTTCATATATATATATATCCAC